CCGCGGATGAGTTCCAACCTCCAAGTTCATTTACCAAGTAGATCGCCACCATTTTCTACAAGCATACGAGTCCCTGTGTAGAGTTGAGGATTTCCCAATTTTAAGAATGCTGCAATTTTCTTTGGAACAGCTCCAATAGTATGAATGCCCACAACTTATTTTACACATTTATCAATGAAAAATCACCGGTTTTCCAAATTTGAAGGCCTCAAATCTACGTATTTTTGGTATGAACCATATGCATCAAAAGGAAGTACTTCTTTGCGAATATCGAATACCCTGTTCTTTTTGTTTTTAGTATACCTTAATGTAACCAAAACTCTGCTGCTGGTGCTTTCAAAATCATCCACAATCAGCTTAACAAGTTCGTCACGTCTACAGACGCCAAAAATACTACACATTAATACAACCTTCTCAAGCAACCATGAATGATCTTCTTCTGCCTCCAACAAAAACTTAGTTACTTCTTCTTCAGAAAAAATTTTTGCTTTCTTTGGTGTGTATCCATCAGCCTTTCGTCTCAAGAACAAAATTAATTTTCCATCTGAAAATACCATTTCTGTAGGTGATACTGTGATATGGTGTATGATTTAAAAAATTAAACTTGAAATTACAATGTTGTCATAAACTTTCAAAGCAAGTTTCAACATTGAAATCTTGGTCCACAGCGAGTTAGGATAATAAACCTCTGATTTTCCTGTCGTATAGGCTAATATAATACATCTCCATTAACCACCTTTACATTCTTGCTTTCACGCCACTGTTCAAAATTTTCATATACTTTTTGATATCGTTCTTGAGTTATTTTCGGCACTAAATTACCACTCGGTGCACATGATTCTCTCAATATTTCTGAGGAAATTTGATTTTATTCTTCAATTTCATCCATGGTCGTTGTTAAAACGAACTCGCAAACACAAAAAAACTGACGTTGTTTATAATAGATACGAGTATTGTTGTGATATTGTTAGGCTGTTTCATATCAACACGTTGGGATTTTTCTGAAGAGTTACAAGGTACGTGGTTTGTTCTTTTCTCGGAATCAAAATGTAATTTTTCAGCGGGATTACGAAAATTCTTGAACGACACACGGCCTATACGCAAATAATGGATTCACTTGTTACAATATTCAAAATATCGACCTTGTAATGTTAATAATTATAATTTGATTTTTAAACCGATTTCTATAGAAATGATTGCAAGAAATATTACAATATCGACAATAGCCATCTTGGTTTCGGACAAGTTGGAGCCTGGCTCCCTTACCCTTTTGACTGATGCTGACAATATCTATATAATATAACATAAATCTTACATAACTACTTCATTATAACATTAAAAACAACAGTTCAAAAATAACATTTCCAAACGCTCAAAGGTGCAAACTTATTTCCTCCTTTTCATAAAAGAGGATGTATGCATCTCCACTCACAAGCGATTTTGGTGAAATTGGTGACACGTGTGAATCATTGTATTCGTGCCACGTGCCAGTATAAGGATGTCTGCAGAATGCTGTATAGTGTCCGCTGTAGGTAGATCCACTGTGATTCGAAAGTGCATATAGATTATAACGACAAGGAGTCACATTTTCTGCTGCATAATTGTTCATGTCCAATCCATCTAGAGGAAATTCGATGGCAACATTTAACTTGCCTCTAAATCTTTCTGTTTGAGAAAATCTTTTAAAATGAATTACTAAAATACGGGGAAACTTATGGATCGATAGAGACTTTGGGCATTTTCTTCTTTCCTTGCAACTTGAACACGTCAGTTTTTCATGTCCATCCAAAGTTTCCTCTCTTGTGAAGAAATCCAAGCTCTGTGATAAATTCAATTGGCCAGTTCTTTGTGGTATGGGGAGTGACAAATCCCAGAAAGGATCGAAGGTTACAGATGAGTCTCTACAATGTGTGCACTTCATCGTGGATTTTAATTGACCAACGAAATTATCTACAATCTTAGAGTTATATGTACTCAAATAAATCAGCCATGACTCTTGGCTTTTTCGATATCGCTCAATTTTTCGTTAATCTCCGTTAAGGTCAATTTAGGTTTCTCAATAATTCTATTAACGTCAACATGTAAACCTTCTAAAAGATAACGAAGGAACTCATGGGCGTCTTGTTGCGCATGACCCATGAATCGAGGGGCAAAACTCTGAATCTGACTTTTTAAGGAGAATATGTGCACTGCTCTATCAGATGAATCTTCTGACCACAATTCCTTGATAATTTCTGCATAAATTTAAAATGTTTCTCACTTTCACTTTTACCATCGATGTGTTTGTTTTTTGTAGAACTTCCGGGAACTTTTCAATAAAATTAGTTTGATTGGAAATCAGCCATGAATTTGGAAACAAATTATTGATTTCATTTCTTAAATTAAATTTGTGAAAAGTGTTTAGTAATTTCTCGAACACCTATTTCTCTTGGTAAATCGCGTCAACACAATAATTAAAAAATCCCAAATATCGATCTTTATCAGAATTAGATGGTTGATATCACCTCTGCATTTTTAAATATTGAAAATATTCTTGACAATTTTTAGGCTCAGGATTGTCCATTAAGGAGAGTTGCAATGCCATTGTGGTTTAGCCTAGCACAACTGATTATACCTATGGCGGGTCGAAACAGCAGTATATGGTGTTGAATCATAAATGTGCTATGTTTGAGCACTGGTTTTCAGCAATGAATAATTTGTTGGATTCAATAATGACAAAGGTGAAGATATGAAATATCGTTACTGGGTAAAATATTAAGGAGTTAACAGAAAATTAAGAGAAAGTGGTGTGAGGTGAAGTAGAGAAATAGGACAATTACCATTTTGAAGATATACCAAAAATAAGTATAGGATGTGTGATGTCAAACCAGTCGGTAGACTTGACTGTAACGAGTGCGATTATGGCACGTGGACTGAGCATGAGTGTTCTACCAGGAGAAAAATAGTGGCATCATGCCCACACACTTTTTCAGATGATTTCAAAGCTATTTCCACAAATTCCTAACACGGTATATACTGTAATATTTTCATCAATCAGAGAATGCTGAGTCAAGGTAAATTTAGGAATAGGTAAGTAAAGCACATGGTTCTGTCTGGTGTTGCGACAATTTGTTCCGGGTCTGTACATGCTAGTTTTATTGTTATGAATTAAGCATACTGTTTCCATTATGTATAAGAAGGTGACAGGTAATATTTTGTGGCTGATGAATAAAGGCTTGCAGTGTAAGATATTTCAAAAAACTCTTCTACAGCACAAATATCGTATTCTGTAACTGTAAACTACAATGGCCCCAGAAAGTTATTTCATAGCAAATATGAGATTCAATCAATGCAAAGTAAGCCATTCTAGCTGTAGTGTACCCTAGTTCATTCGATATCACTCTAATAGCATAACATCCACTAGATATTTTTTTACTCAAATGGGATACATGTTCTTTAAAATTCAATTTATTGTCTATGTGAATGCCTAGGAATTTAGTGTACTGCTTGTTTTCTATGTTATGCCTATCCAAATCTAAATCGTCTAGTGTACATTTGAAAGTAACTAGTTTTGTTTTGTTTAGCTTGAGGCACAAGGAGTTTGCGTTACACCAGTTTTGAATTTTTGAATATCTATTTTTATCATATTTGATAGCTGATTAATTTCTTTATTATTCCATATAATAGTGATTTCGTTGGCAAATACAGTAAATTGTCCTGCAATGTTAATGGTTATTAGGTCATTGAAGTATATTGAAAACAATATTGGTCCTAAATCAGACCCCTGAGGTACTCCATGTCTTATGTCACTAGGATCAGACTGTCCACTTGATGTTTTCACCACCTGTCGACGTCCTGTCGAATATGAACCAAACCAGCTCAAATTTGTTCCTCTTATCCCATAATGGCTGAGCTTTCGCAGCACTGTCTTAAGATCATAGCAATCGAAAGCTTTCGAGAAATCACAAAACACTGCTGCAACAGCCTTGCCATCATTCATGCTAGAGTATGCATTCTCTAGCAAGAAGAAAATGGCATCTGTGGTATTTTTCGAACTTTGAAAACCGAACTGAAGGCTAGATAGCACATTGTTTATCGATAAGAAGGAAACCAATCTTTCAATAATTTTTTAAAGGGTCGATAATAAATAAATGCCTGAAACTTGAGGGGTCTTCCAGATCTCCGCCCCTATGTAATGGAATAACCATAGCTATTTTCAGACATGTGGGAAATATACCATACCTGAATGATTCATCAATGCATTCAACCTGTAATGCACTTAGAGGTAGATTTTCAAATATTTTTACAGACATTCCATCCTTACCCGCCGAATTTTTATTTTTGATTTCATTGATTATCTATATAAGCTCATGTACATCCGTATCTGTAAAAATAAAGTTATCAACAACATTTACATTTTTTAGGTACTCCAAGGGGTCACAGCTGGCTTTTATGTTCTCTTTTAGTTTTTCACCAATAGAGCAATAGAAATCATTGAGTTTTGTTTGGAGCTAGGTTAGTTTTAATGGGATTGGCCTTATTTATACTTCTAATATCGTTCACTACAGCCCAGTTTTCTTTTGTTTTATTGTTGGCTGTTCTGATTCTCTCTGCATAATATGAATATTTAGCCCTTTCAATAATTTGCCTATAAATATTCTTATATTTACTAAAGTACATTAAGAAATATGTATTATCCGTACACTTCCTAATTGTATGTAATGATCCTAAATGTTTTCCAGTATTTTTTATGCCAGTTGTAATCTATTGTTTCTTATTTTTTTTATTTTCAGTTTGAAAATTGAGATCGTTAATCCTTAGATCGCACAAGTTTCGATTTTTGAGAGTTGTCGTTCGAAAGGGAGGGGCGACAGCTGGTTATCGAAAAACAGATTCTAACAGATTTTATTATTATTATTTCCATAATTTATTTCTGGTAATATTTGAATCATTGGGAGGTAGTTTTCTAGTCGAGTTGGCATGGTTACTAGTAATAATATTGGTTTCTAAGGTGACTGCATTCAGTTAGTTTGTATTGATCAAATATTTGACGTTCATAATATACATCTGAAGTTTTATTACAAAAAAAGTGATATATATTGTGAAAAATCGAAAAATGGAAGATTCTGAGAATCATATATCTGCACCTATTCCCGAAAAGGCTGTTCTCAGTCCTGATCATCCGATTCTGGAAAAGTTCCAGCAAGCTTTGAAGGAGCATCTTCTTCTTCAGATAAATCGAATGAAAGATGATATTTTCGAAATCGAAACCGAAACAAAAAAGAAAAACTTTGAAAAAGAAGAACTAGGTGTGCGAACTTATGAGGCCCAGCAATTGGTGTGTAATCAACAGAAGATTCTGGAGAGTATTATTTCTGATCTACAAACAGTGACAGGAGCGAAAGAAGAAGTGGAAAATGAACTGGAAATACAAAAGAAAATCCACAAAGATTCAATAGAAAAGTACAATGAGTCAGAAAAAAATAACAGAGAACTACAAAACGAAATAGAGTCGGTGAACCTACTCATCAAACAAATGTCGCAATGGGAAAATAAAATTGAATCCCACATTTCTGTGAATAAACGAGTTTCCGAAAAAACCCGAAAAGATAATTTGATGATTGGCAGAGAGAAAAAAGAGCAAGATCTGTTAATTTACAAACTATTAACAGAGATATGGAAACTTGAATCAGAACTTGAGACTGTTAATTCCAAGATAAGAGTTAAAGAAAATGAAATTGAAGAAATGGAACAAACTGTTGCTGTTGGCAATACAAATATAGAAGCTCTACAAAGCGAGTATCGATGTCTGATGCATTCTTGGAATTCCGTAGTGGTTGCCATAGGAAACAGGGATAAAGGTCTCGATTGCTTGAATGAAGAACTTGGTAAGTTTCAAGAAAAATTCAAAAGCATGGTGTCAGAAACAGAACAAATAAAGAAACTCACGAAAACGGAACTACAAAATAATGAAAAGCTGACAATGATCAAGAGTCGGGTTGAGTTGGATGTTAGAAATTGTAAAATTCAAACTGATGATGAGATGAATAAGAAAGTTGCCATCGAAAATGAGATGTATGAATTACAAGCAATCATAGACCAGAACGACAAAGACATTCAGACTATCGGAATTGAAAATCAGCAAAAACAAAATGCATTGAACATATTGATGAAAGATTTCGATAAAGTTGCCTCACAAAAGTTTGACTTAGAAGATGCTCTAATGAAAAACTTGGAGAATCAATTAGCAAACAATAAAGTTGCCAACAACCTGACAAAAATATTGAGCACTATAAAATATAAGAAGAAAGAAGTAGAAGTGCTAATGAATGAAGCAGAAAATAAAAATAGTTTGCTGGCTTCAGAAACCGAGTCACAAAAATTCATGAACGATGAAAATTCTCGGTTACTGAAAGAAATTCAGAACCAACAGGCAGAACTAGAACGGGAAGCAGATGCTCTTGACGCAGAAAGGGAAAAATTCGAACTTTTGTTCAGAAAAAGAGAGAGACAAGTTGATGTGTTGACCAATAAGTTAGAAAAGGCTACTTTGAAAAGTACCAGTGCAACCTCACCTCAAGAATTGAAGACTTTAGAACTGGAGAAACATATCGAAGACATTCAGGAAATAATAAAAAAACTACAATCTTATTGGTTACGGGAACAAAAGAACATTCTGGCAGTGTCTAATGAACGTCAAGAACAAATACATAACTTGAATATGCTGAAAAAGCAAACGTTGATACTGGAACAGAAAAATTTAAAGATAAGCGATGAGATAGAAGACTACAAGAAATTTCAAGACAAAGTTCTACACAACATACGCAATCTTCAGAACAAAGGAGAGGCTTTGTGCGAAACTCTTTGCAAAAGTCGCAACCGAAAAACTGACCTAGATAGAAGCAATACTCTTCTGCAATCTGAATACGACTCCAAGCTGAAAGACTCCGAGCTCCAACTGTTAGAACTGGAGTCTGAAATAACGGAGATTGAGGAAGATAAAGTGAACTTGAGCAAGGAACTCATAGAAGTGAATAGAGAAGCACTAGAGTGGGAGAAAAAACTGCAATTAGCCAAGGAGGCACTGAACAGTATGAAACAGGAGAGAACCCATGGAGGCGAAGTTGATAACATGAGGCAGGAAATACATCGGATGGAAGTAATTCACGGCCAGCTGAAGAAGGCTCAAGAAAAATTGCTGAAAGACCTGGAACATTGCCTTTCTAGAAGAGATAGTATCTACCTGACTTCAGAGGCCAGACAGAAGAGAGGAGCTTCGAAGGTTTGTTGAATTTCTTTTACTTACCAAACTTCTCTACTTGCGATACACTGTTTGGAACCTTTGGTGTAGTAATGAATATCAATGGAGTTTTTTCTCAACACCAAACCGTTATTTTAACACCTCGACACGTGTTGTTACGAAATCATTTTAGAAAGGATCTTTCTCTGTCGAAATTATATTGATATCGAAAACTGAAATTAACTAGTTTGTTTAGCTCTGATACTAGTTGAATTAGTTGAATAACCAATCATCTTCTCAGGAGGAAGCTTTGAATACCCATTGCAAAAAAAATACTCCTCTCTACATAGGTTGAAGTTTTCTACTGAGAAAAAAGGCGATTTCATACGTGAAACAACTATGATTCCATTGATGAAAATTCTCCTTTTCCGCTGAAAATCGTTTACCAAGATCACTTTTAACTAATTAACGAACAAGTGTGGAGCAAACTGAAAGTATCCTAAATTTTCTTATTCAATAAACGCGCCTAATATCATGTTTTTATCCTTTTACTTATTTGTTCGGTGGTCATTGACAACCATTTAAGCAATGATTCAAATACAGAGATGACTTTAATTTCGGTGGGTCATTTCTTGTAACTTTTTATATCCTCAATTGCTTCATTTTCGAATAATAAGGTTTAAAATTCGTGATAAAAAAGAGGTTTTAAAATTATTGCTCAGAAGATATTCAGCCGACTATGATTGAACTTGCTACGTTTGATAATAGTAATGAAAATCTTCTTTTGATATAATTAGATTTTGAATGATCATTTCAGTGGCGTCACAGAGTTTTACCTGATTGATATTCATAGTAAAAATCATTGTTCACTACTATTTCTTTTCAAAGTCTGATATTAACATCAGATTATATAATTGAAATGACACATTTTTGATTTCATGAATTTTTTATTACGCTTAGTTTTCGATGAACCAATATCTGCAAGTCCTTGTGCCCTGAAACAATGATTCAAAACTAACTGAACTTTTCTCATATTTCACAGTATTCACAAACAGGTACGTGTTTATTTTGCAATAGAACTGATTGTTTGCCAGACGAATGGATAAATGAGAATCGACAGAAAACATTAATTGTCAAAATGACCGTTATAATATTTTACTCACCACACTGACAGCGAGAAATTCTAATAGTATTTTTTAACCACAAGGATTTCTTTTCTTGAAATGAAATAATAACGATCACGGAGTTCTTATCTTCATATCAGTAGGAGTCATATTTTTTCTGAATGATTCGGCCGTTACTCGATGAAGATTCATAGTAATTCCATAAACTTCATCTCACGTTATATTCACTATGAAAATGTTTTGAAATAGCATCCTATCAAATGTTAATGGCAATGCTGCAGAATCCAGTCGAATTTATCTAGAACGAAATTCTAACACACATATTTGAGCAGAAAGAACTTTTATAAGATTACATGTCACAAAAGTTGTCAGGGTTTTTACTTCCATTTAACTGATTCATTTGGAAATCGCTTTCAAGCATATTTTCTTTTCAAATGAATTTTCAAAACCACTTAATGATGAGAAATGAATGTATCATTTATTTGTTTTTGTGTTATCAATAACTTTGATACAGTTTATTTGATTATTCTGAAGGAAGGAAGAAATCAATTTATTCCAAAATTAACCCTTCACAAAGATGTGTAGTTGTTTGGGGAGGGTTTGTTTCAGTTTGTATCTGTATTGCATGATCTACAATATTTGTAAATAGTTCATTTTGGACTTGGTTGCTTCCTTCCTTCTTTTTATTTTCCCACATCTTTTTATATCAGGATAGGAAATTAGAAAAGTAAAAAGTATTTTTTTGTAAAACTAATCTCTCTTACCAAATATACACTTTTCAATTTAAATTATCAATTTTATTATTGACTAAATCCAATAATCCATTCATCATCATTTCTTTCTCTTTTTTTGTTAGTTTTTATTTCAATAGTCTGATCATCGGAATTTTGAATTTTATCCAATCATCAAAATTTAATGAATAATGAATAATAACCGTGATTCAAAACTGAAATGTTAAAAAAAAATATGTTTTTCCGTTAACCAGCTGTCGCACCCCTACGAACGACAACCCTCAGAAGTCGAAACTTGTGCGAGCTGAGGACTAACGAGGTCTTACCTTTTAACGTGTGATTCCTAACACTCAATTTGTAACATTTAATAATTATTGTTTTAAATGTACCTATTATTCTTCATTGTTCATGAAGACGTATTTCAAATTGAATTAGGAACATCGAAATGTATGTATCATAAATATTTCATTTTGAAATCGTTACTTATATGCAATATAACTTATGTTTCGCTATAGTTTTTCCAGATGTTAGTAACACGAGTACTAACAGAATTATTATTTTCTTATTATTATTTTTTACGCATTAAATATGTTAATACGTTTATCGAACAAAAAAAATCAAAATCGAGATAGAGACTAACATTTTTCCTTATTTTCAAGGTGAATGAAGTCAGGACTCGAATCGATTACAGTAGGAAATTGGATAACATGAAAAATAAAATGAAACAGATGGAAAATGAAATTGATAAAATTAAGACCAACATTCAGACAACAAATAATCAGAAAGAAATCACGAAAAAGCAAATAGAAGAGGCGAAAGAAAAAGTAAAATTCACACAAAAATATTCGGTGGACTTGGTACAAGGATTAGAAGAAGCCAAGAGTAACAGACAGTTCAATTTCGAATTGTTGGTGATGCAACAGAAAAAACAAGAAATGTATCACTACTTGTCGATGGGGAGAAAAACATATACTATTTACAAAACAGAAGATAAACTTGTATCGGAGTACGGTAAGCAAAAAGACCTGAATGGACGACTGTGCAAAGTAGTGGAGAATTTGAGAACAGATTTTCCCAATTATGATCACGAGTTGAATAGAATCAATAATACCCTCAAGATTGGTGCACTTTTGATGTATACATGAATTCATAACGATAAAATATATTATACATTCTTTCTTCACAAAAATATTTAATACAAGAAACACTTCATTGTGAGATTTTCACTAACTGGATTCGTGTGGAAAAATATTTAGTGTTTCTAAGACTGATTTCCCAGAGAATTACCAAAGTATAGATGATTTACGAAATGAATGTTCACGTTGAATAATTGTGAATTGATTGATATAAGATGTGAAAATTATTACACTTTCTTGTATTTACATTATGGTAAGATGAAATATAATCATATTTCGACCTATTGGTGTGTATGAATACACACATTTTAAAAATGGAAATATCCGGGAAAGTTAGTATTTTCAAATGTTTGTATAAATCTCTGCAGGAGGTTCTGTGATTAACGCTTGCTAAAATTCGTATAATCTTTTTATTGGCAATGAATACATTTGGAGCCAATGAAGAGCTTTCCCAAAGACAAATGCCATACCTGTTTCTAAATTCTATATGTGCGTAGTAATAATTTACTAACTGTTCAGTGGTTGATATCGGCTTAAGATTTCGTATAAGATACGGAACAGAACTTAGTGTCTTAAACATGTGCTTGGAAGATATAAGCTAATAACTATTGAAGTAAAAGACGAATAAAGAAGTAATTTTTTGCCAATAAAAAGATGATTACTCGTATTTTTTTTTGACCTATTTTGGGTTTTTTCACCTTCCACATGATATGAAAATTGTAATGGAGAACTTCACAAAAATCGCTATGACTTTGGTTCAATATATGAATATTTCATTAATATTTATTGGTTTCAAGAATCAACAACTATAAGAGAGAAAAAACAACAAATAAAAAATAAAACACATATCAGTCAAACCAATCAAATATTCTAACAGTAAAGTGTTATTTCATTTGAATAGAAGCTTAAGGAAATGAAGAACTCCACTTTTATATTTCATCAAATAGTTGTTTGGAACAACTAGATACTTGCGATTTTATTGATGTTTCTTCTTAGATTCCATTGCAAAAATTAACATTTACATAAATTTGCTACAACATTCTCATTACTAATTTGATAAAGAAAAAGTAAGCAAAAACAATTTCAGTGTACTTTTTTCTTAATATAAAATTCAAAAAATAAAGTTTCGTTCATTTAAATTCATTTATGGCCGTTTGAATGTTGTTGACTGCATTATAGGAAAACGGTTCATTTGACAGAAGTGCACAAAATAACAATTCTAGAGATGATTGAGATAACTGATAATGAGACATATATATTAGGACATCAGAAAAAAAACTGAAGAATAATTCCACATAAATTTTGGAATTACGTAAATTCATAGAAAAATAAATTCTGAATTCTTGGTAAAATGGTGATACTCGGAGACATTTCTCAGAACAGCACACTCTATTGTAAAGGTTTTTGCAGAACACTTAGTAGTGAATATCATTAAGATCCTTACTCAAATTTAACACCAATAACTCTCCAATATAATGCAATCATAAGAAATCATAATTGCAGTAAAATATGAAAATGATCAAAAATATGTCCTTATATTATCAGTTACAAAATTTAGCGGGCAAGAATGCCGTACTTTTCTCCGTAGGTGCGTAATATACTATTTCTTCAACAAAAGCAAAGTCAGAGGTAGTTGAGTGTTGGAAATAGAAGAGCTCACCAAGCAACGCCTGAAACTGATGGTAAATGCCAAGGAGTACTATAGGATTATGTTATAATATATTGCGATTTTATTGATGTTTCGTTTTAGGGTCTATTGTAAAAATTAACATTTACATAAATGCGCAACAAAACTCTCATTACTAATTTGGTAAAGAAAGAGTAAGCAAAAACCATTTCAGTGTATTTTTTAACTAATATGTAATTAAAAAAATATAGATTTGTTCATTTAAATTCATTTACCTAAAGCCGTTTGAATTTCGTTGACTGCTTTATAGAAAAACTGTTCATTTGACAGAAATGCACAAAATAACAATTCTAGAGATGATTGAGATAACTGATAATGAGACATATATATTAGGACATTAGACAGAAAGCTGAAGAATAATTCCACATGAATTTTGGAATTACGTAAATTCATAGAAAAATAAATTCTGAATTCTTGGTAAAATGGTGATACTCGGAGACATTTCTCAGAACAGCACACTCTATTGTAAACGTTTTTGCAGAACACTTAATAGTGAATATAATTAAGATCTTCATTCAAATTTAACAACAATAACTCTTCAATATAAGAAACCATAATTTCACTCAAATATAAAAATTAAAATATGTCCTTATATATACCAGTTACAAATTTTTCGCAGACAATGCCATACTTTCCTGCCTAGGTGCGTAAAAACCTGTCACTGCCAATTGTCACTTCAAATATATTGAAATAGGAAAGTGTAATAGATCAGGGATTACAGAACATACTTACGTCTTAAATCTTGATATGTCACATAATTAATTATTATTAATTGAGTTTTTGAACTTGTGAAATAAAACCAACGTCCCACAATTTCAGCAGCTGTTTGGAAGGAGATCTAAAATGCATTAATGAAGAAATGAAAAAATATTTGGAAGTTATAGTTAAATAAGCCAGAAACGTGAAATATTGCAGGTTATGTAACTTAGGTGAAATTATTAAATATGAAAATATGTAATATGTTGAAGAAGAGGTGATAATAATTATTTTGTTTACATGTAGTGAATATTTATCAGTAATATTTAGACTCATGTTCCTTATAAATGTGGTTCATTTCTAGAAAGAATCTTTTATGAACTACTTTTGAGTGATATAATATTTTGACATATTATATTCAGAATAATGGTCAGAGTCAATTTTGTATTGTGCAAGAGTGCAATTTGTTGTTTCGGATGCCCTATCTTTCAGAAGTCTACCAGTTTGGCCAATGCATACCTGATTGCAATTTGCACAAGGAACATCGTGGAGTTGTTGTAGTTATGTCCATTAATCTTGAAAAATATGTGGTATACGATAATGATTGGGAATAACCCTATTATTATGGTTATTATGGTCTTGGTGTGAAAGGTAGACCGGTTGAAAAGTAAACTATTGATGAGTCAAGGTGGATATCTACTTTTCATGAATGATTCAGATAAGTTTTTAAGATATCCTGTACGAAAGGTAGAACGACTGGTGAGGGAGACTCTGAACTCAGATAAACGTTATTTCTTTAACTCAAATTTTGTTATTTTTTAGCAATACCATGAGAGTTACAAGCATGATAAAACCAAGAGTTCATACGACGAGGTTTTTATCTATTGCTGATTGCTCGATAACAATGTTAAAAATGGAAATTTATCAATAAAATTCTGAGATCTACTATTGATAAAAAAATAACACCAGCGGCAATTCAAATATGACTACTTTTACAATCTCAACACTCACGAGAGAGATTGGAAACAAGAATTATATTGCTATTCAACATTTTTGCAGATTTCTCATTTATAATAATTTTCCCAGATGGTTAGATATACGCAACGCCTCTCCTTCATTCGCTATGGGAAGCGAAAGAGCACTTACATTTAAATAATGACATTTCTGGAGTGTCACATTCACGGCTAATGGAAGAAGCGACTGTCACGATGTCTGAGTGGAACACTTCCTCACTACCATTGTCTGCAGTCGCGGATTACTTAGCACGACACCGGCTCTTGTTCCTGCTACCTGGTGACAAATGAACAGCTAGCTTCTCAATAGAACTCGCAGTTCTGTAATGTATCTTTATTGCGGATGAGGGTGATGCTTTAATTAAATTCTGACAGATTCATTCCGATGATTAGTGTAACGACAGAGATTCGTTGATTGATTTTAGACATAATGATGACTCAATAGGTAAGATGTTTTTTCCACATCGGTAAAATAGCATTACTGTCATGAAGATGGAATAATCCTCTGTACTGTCCCAAAGATATTGATACATCGATACTATTGCAATAATATGCCGTAGCCTGATCACAAAAAAATTATGACAAAAAACCAGAGGTTATCAATTGACATGTTTGTAAGTAATAAAAATTAAACTGCAATACCAAACTGGCTTCACGACAGAAACTGAAAAAGTATCCGTTGAGAGCTAACTGAAAATTAGTAAATCAAAACTAAGTAAAAAAATCAATTTGACTTTGAAAATAAATCAAGTCAAAATAATGGAATAATATTTTTATATAGGGTGGCCCAAACGGAGACGTATACATTTTTTTCAGATAGGACTCTTTAAATATTCCTGTGGGATTTGTTGGGATATTGTTCTGCGACTTTTTATAGTTTTTTTTCAGGCGAACCGGCCTGAATATTTTACAATTTTTCTTCGAGGTTTATTTTTCAAAATTTCTTTGTTACATAATCCTTTTATTATTTTTTTCACTCTGAAATTGTAGTAATGTAATTCACATTCTAACAAGGGAAAGTTGGATTTTGAACTTTGAATTGAACGTTGTTTAAAAATTTTCTGCAAAACCTTGAACTTGCGAAATAACACAAACAATTGGTTGATAATTAACAATAAATTGATGGATGTAGCCGTTACTGTTGTGAAAAAAATATTTACACGGAATAATAAGGGGGCATTAAAATCTAACAGTGCGAACTTTTCTATACAAATATCCACACTTCATTTGTGTCCCAAATACCCAGTCTTTGATAAGAACAATAGGAATGAGGATAGAATATCTACAATAGGGGTCTTTTTTGTGAAGAAAATAGAGATTCTTCGACCGTTTTGGATATTGTTGCGTAATTTGCCTTCATATATTCAAGATTCCTTCGAAAACTCATAAGTATTACAAAAAAATACTTGTTTGTTTTCTGTAATAGAATGAGGTATACAAAATGTGTCTATAAAAGATATTTATTTAGCGTGCCAGCCGAGATGTTTCGCTAATTTAAAATAATTTTATACTCCACTATTTATTGTTCGATTCGAATTATCATATCAGATAATCAGCATGGATTTGCCGACCAAAATTCTTGTGCTTTGGACAGAACACTGCAGGTTGGCCTCATTTATTTCCATCAGATCCACTTTTTCATCTTTCTCAGGTGTCTTTCAGAATGTATTTTTTCGGGCTCAATAA